CCCATGAGCAGAAGAGATATCCTGGAGGGAGGATTGGTTGGGGAGGAGATAAAGGAACAGAGATAACTGCCCCACCTCAGACAGATGGGAATTGGGCGCACACCCCCACCACCTTCCAACCTGAGTCATCAGCCCATGGCAGGGGTTGGAATGAGATGAGCTTTAACCCACTCCAGCCCAAGCCATTGGATGATTTTATACTCATTTCCTTTAGGGTTTGTGTCAGTCTGTGGGCACAAAGCACTGCATGATTTTGTGTTATTTCCCTTAGGGTTTGTGTCAGTCTGTGGGCACAAAGCACTGCATGATTTTGTGTTATTTCCCTTAGGGTTTGTGTCAGTCTATGGGCACAGGGTGTCTGAGATCGACGAGATGCTGGAGGTGCGGCAGATCGCGGGCGTGTGTCCCCAGGCCGACATCCACTTCGACATCTTGACTGTGGAGGAGAACCTCTCCATCTTTGCTGCCATCAAGGGCATCCCTCAGAACGATTTGATACAAGAGGTAACTCACCTGGATGCTGGTGGTGTCTTACATGAACGTTTTTAACTGTAAATCAAAATATCCTTGCAGGGTTTTCCTTTTGCAGGGAAATAATCCTGTGTGGTACAGTGGACAGACAGATACAGACAGATATTTAGACAAAGATAAACCTTTAATTTTTCCTGAAATTAAAATGCCCATAAAATGTTTTAAATCTGGCATTTAGGTCCAATTATAGACACCATTAAACTTTGTGTGTAGGTTGTGCAGTTCAGATACAGAACACTCTGGGAACCAGCAGCAGTTAATTTGAATGTTAATTGTTAACAATCTGGTTTTAAAAATTTATAGGTTTTTTTTTTTAAACAATAAATGTGTTTCTTGTGTTTTCAAGGTGCAGAAGGTGTTGCTGGATTTGGAGATGCAGCCCATCAGGGACAATCAAGCCAAAAAATTAAGTGGGGGGCAAAAGAGGAGGCTGTCAGTGGGAGTTGCTGTTCTTGGGAACCCCAAGGTGAGAGGGATGGAATTATTCTCAGCTTCGTGTTGCTGATCCATGGAAGGCTTGGTCTCTCTCGTCAAAACCAACTAATGTGCAAAATGCAGAAATTGTTCCTTTGAGCACCTTTTTTTCTTCGTTTTTGGTTTAATTACAATCATTTCAATCTCTCAGCCTTTGTGCTTGAGGCTCAGTAATGGCAGCAGCCTTGGGTTTGATCTCTTTGGCAGATAAATAGCGTGGCAAGTTTTGTGTGTAATTTCTGGCAGGTAGCATTTATCCCCCAGCAGGGAAATTGTTGGATGCTTTCATTCCAAAGCCATCCAGGAGCTGGGAGCAGGAGCAGAGCCAGGGAGCTCTTTTGTGTTGCAGCCCTGTCATTTCTGGCCTGTGGGGATGGGCACTGCTTTGAGATCTGTGGTTAAAAATGCGGTGTGTGACATTCCCTGGGGGTTTTCAAAGCAGGTGTGTGCATTTAACCAGCCCTCAGTAGAAAGAGTGAATCCATGGCTAGGTTGTGATTCTGCTACACAATTCTATTGAAAGCAGAATAAAGCAGGCTGTGGCATTAATTTATCACAGGATTTTTCCATTTGTCACAAGGGGAGATGGATGTGTTCAAAGCACAGTGACAAAAGCTGCCTTGTTAATCTGGGCTGTTTCCTATTTTACAGGAATTAACTGGCAGGCTTCAAACAAACCCTTCTGGGTGTGCTGGGGTGTAGCAGATATTTTTTCCTCAGATATTGGAGAGGAATGATGAGGAGGATTCCATCGTATCAGAAGGCTAATTAATTACTTCATGATATTATATTATTCTATGCAATATTGCACTTCAGTTAGGATGTATATTACATTTCATCCTAACTGAATCTGCCAAGCACTCCACTGCACAGGATCTTGTGACTTTCAGCCCACACACCTGGATTCAATTGGTCAGTAAATCAAAACACTCACACCAAAATCCAATTATCAATTCCCTTCAGGTAAACAACCTTCCACGATTCATTCCACTTGTGAACAACACAGGGGCAGTAAATGAGACAAGAATTGTTTTGTCTTTCTCTGAGGTTCAGAGGATGTGAAAGCCAGGAATATCCTTGGGAAGAATTGTGCGTTGCTTTTCTCTGTGAGGAGCAAGGTGGCTGCACTGGGGAGGGATCACTGAGCTCAGGGGCTGTGGCTTTGAGCAGCCCTGGTGGTTTTGCCCCCAGGTTTTGCTGCTGGATGAGCCCACGGCAGGGATGGATCCCTGCTCCCGCCACATCATCTGGAACCTGCTGAGGAGCAGGAAAGCCAACCGTGTGACAGTGTTCAGCACCCACTTCATGGACGAGGCTGACATCCTGGCTGGTGAGCCCTGCCCCAGCCCAGCTGCAGCCCCCAGCCCTGGGCTACCATTGCTGTGCAGCCCAGAGGGGAATTTGGGAGGAAATTGTTGATTTTCTGCTGCCTGACTTCCCTTTCCAGATCGTAAAGCTGTGATTTCCCAAGGGATGCTGAAATGCCTCGGCTCTTCTCTCTTCCTCAAGAGCAAGTGGGGCATTGGCTACCGCCTGAGGTAATTCTGTGCTCAGTTTTGTACCTCTTGGGGCCATTATGCATCTCTTTTTTTTACTGTTTTATGTTGCAATCTCTGAGAAAGAACCCCCCAAAAGATCCTTTTATCCTTGAGTTGATGCCTTGAAAAGGCTGAGCTGGAGCAGAGGCTGGAACAGAGTTACAGAATAAAGCAGGGATTTATTCAAAGCATCTCCTCCATGGATCCACCTTGGGCAGCACAAGAGCCCAGCCAGGGCTGCACCCAAG